AAAAAAGGGGGTGCAAAGAAGAAATTAATATTAAATGAAGATGAGAAAAATGCAGTTTGGCGTACAGTACATAAATCATAGAATTTATATTTTGTTTATAATTTGTTAACATTTCTTGTTTGATAGAAAAATAACTTATTTTGTTGAGATTGGTAGAGAATTGTTGTTAGTGTTTTCATTTGATAGAATCATATCATAGGATTTATATTTTGTTTTCATTCTGTAAATATTTATAGTATATCTGTTATACAAGGTTTTTGCTTTGAAACTTCGTTCTCCTTATAAAAAAAAGAATCGTAATGGGGTGCGATGAAGAGATCAGTTCACGTCTGGAACCCTGTTCCTACAAAAATCCCTTTATTCTCATAAACTATTTGTTTTAAATGTAATTTATTATAAATCCAATTCGTTATGTAAATTCCACATATGTACTACATTTCACCTCTGTACGCGCCACTGTTTATTGTTCCCTGCTCTACGATCAAGCTCGCCAGGTTAGTATTTGACGTATAACCGACCACTTCGTACACTCGATGCACCTGGCCGACTACAGCTAGTACCAGAACACAGTGCGTATGCGGCGGTATTTCAGATTTTACATTCAATTTCATTTTAAATTTGAAACGGTTCATCTTACGCCCCCTAAAAATGATGACACGATTTTCCTTTGATAAAAGACCGACAATTTTTTGCTCTACTTTGCATCGTATACGATCGTACTATAGAAACAAATTCAGAAACACCATATTAGGTATGAATTTTTAACAGTATTTTTTCCAAAAATAAAAACGAAAATGGTGCATTTTCAGCGATGTTGATAAGAGTACCTTTTTTGAATAAAAGGAAATTTCACACTAAAAAAATACTGAAAAAAAAGTTTATCAACTATTTAGCACTATCAAAGACTTGCCTTTACAATACATATTTCATGCCACACATTGTTTTTCTTTGAAAAAGTTGTGACTAAAATTATATTTAAAAAATAATTTGTAAAACCCTACATCTCAAAAAAAACAGTAGGTCTACTGGAAAAATCTATCAAAATATTAAAATCTACATATGATTGACATTTATTTTTTTTTAATTTTATAGGCTGCTGGGAGACATCAGTGCAGCTATTTAATAACTTTACAAAAACAAGAATTCCTTCTTCAAGGAGGGGATCACAATTGGCTGAAAGGATTAAATTACATCCCACAAAAATTAAGAAATTTGTATGATATCAACAAAATATTAGCTCATAGGCCTTGGTTGCTAAATAAATCTCATATTGAGGTAAGTGGAAATTATCATTATCCACCGAGACTGTTTATTTGTGGCTAAATTTTAGTTTTTGTTTATTTATTTAGGTATTTTGCTGTTTATGATAAAATTTAAAAATGAATTAAAGTGAATCGATTAACCTTTGGATCAAAAAGTATTAGTCACAAGTGTTGTTCTTATATAATTATTTTTGCCTGCCAAAAATATCACATTGAAAAAAAGAACTAGATAAATAAACAGTAAAAAGTAGGTTAGGTTACCTTGAATACAATTAATACAAACATCAGTCTTGAGAACAAAATGTATAGATCAATTTTGAAATGGTGAAGTGAAATGCATAATATAGGGATGTGTGTGTATTGTTTATTTTTTAATTCTGTGCTTCTTTTCAGTTTTAAGATTTTATTTATTTGATGCAAGGGATAGTTTGAATGATTTTAATATATTTTTTATTAAAATAGTTGTCATAAACACTTGTGAAGCCATTTTCTAGATATCTTTTCTGGTTGTTATTAAGTATTACTTTTCTCTTTGTAGAAATTAACTAAAGGGAAGGACAGCTGGTCTCTGGCAGAAGTGGTACATGCGATAGTCATATTAACTCATTTTCACTCTCTGTGTTCGTTCGTTTTCTCCTGTGGAGTCAATCAAGAGTTAGATCAGGCAGGTGGATACCAATATCACAGCCAGGATGTAGCGGCGATTAAACAAGTTACAAATAGTTCTAGTAAAAGTGAACCCAAAGATGTACCAATTGTTAATACGATACAAGGTAAGGGTTTGTTTTCTTCTAAGAATAATTTTGAAACTGAACTAACTATATAAGTATAAAGAATGTCCTTTTTTCTATTCATAAGTGTCTTAATTTATTTCTTTATGGAATTTCAACAATGTTTTGCATATTATTTGAAAGGTGCTTAGGCATAGTGCTCACTTTCTTGAGTTTTTTATGTTTAGTGGGAGGATAGGTCGACAGATTTGTTATTTTTATTTGATAGAGTTGATATTCACTATTCAAATTTTCAGACTGGAAAAATTCTACAATAAATAGTCCTCCCTCACCAACTGAACCCGAAGTAGGAATCACGACGCTCATGCAACGCATGAAAACTCTCTCGGAACAAACGGAGGAGTGCACGCCAGTAGAACTAGCCAAACGTTTTGAAAACATTGAAACCCAGTCAGCCGAGATAGGTATAGTGGGACCTGAACCCCAAGAAACGCCAGCCGATGTAGGGTGTTACGTAGACGATGCCAGTTTTGTGTACCAAGATTTTGCCAAAAGGGGTGACTCTCAAGATATTCCTACGTTTAGAGTACAAGATTATTCGTGGGATGACCATGGATATTCTTTGGTTAATAGGTGAGTAACCCTTTTTTTTTTGTTGGGCATATCTCTTATTGAATTTAATTTCTATATTTCAAAATTTTGTCACATACGGAGGAAAACCAAGAAAAAACATCTCTAGAGTGAATATAATCACATTGTTCTAAATGCTTGATGTAATAAGAGAACTAAAAATTTATCTCGTTGGGCTATTCTTGAATATGCCATCACTAGTTTGAGTTTTACTAAAAGGCATTAAATTAATGTTAGAAATGAACATATTTGTTGTCCACACAGTAAAATGCAAGCACCAACCTGTTACTTTAAAAACATTGGCGAGATCAATTATTGGAGCTGCTTGGCTACCAAAAAATTATTCCCCACTTTGGTGAAAAACTGTAATAATTGCGGTGATAAGTGCTTATGGGCTGTCTTATGTGGATCAAATACGAGGGTTGCCTTTTGTATTTCAGGAATAGAGAACAAAAAAAGAAATTAATCATCTTATATGTTTATTGTTTTTCAAAATACTCTCCATAAGGATCAATACACTTTTACATGTGCTTGAACCAATTTTTGAAACATTTTTTCCGATTGAGGTACCTACCTCTAAAACGTGCATCAACCAAAAGTCGAACTTTACGTCGCACAGTGGATGAAAAGCAAAAATAGCCGACCAAAATTCCTAACTTGTTAGATTGTATATTTAATAATCATATTGTATGAAAAATTGCTAGAGTGGACTGTAAAACTTTAAATGGACTGTAAATTAAATGTTTGTAAATGCTTTGGACACTTACCAGTGTAGGATAATGGTGTACTTTCACTGTTGTTATATTAGTAGGGAGTTAAGGAAAGAAAGATAGGTAATGTAATATTAATGCAAGCCACTAACTAGTGATATGGTAATTCTATAATTTAATATCTATAACCACATAACTTCTAAAATTTTAATTTGTAAAAATCTATCCTAATGAACGCAGTTCTATACTATACCTACTCTTATCAAAGTATTTTGCACACATACCAAAAAAGAAAATAAAGAGGAACAGTTTTGTTTCAAATATTGTACATAGTACGCCATCTATGACAGAGGATACAAAATAATTAAAGAAATCGTTTAAATCTATTTAATATGACCTAAACACATTCACGATTTAACATCTATAGGGATATTATTTTTTATGTTTAAAATATTTACCTAATTAATGAGGATTAAGTTTAAATTTATTTTCCCATTAGCGCTACCCAGAACTAACGACTAGGACGTTGGAAGAAATGTAGTCTCATTTTTGTTTTTTATTTTTGTTTTTTATTATTTTAAATATTTTTAATTTTTTAAATTTTTTTGTATTTTATTCTTTTTATACTTTTTGTTTGTTTGTGTTTTCCTTTTATTTTTTCATTTCAAGTTAAAACGATTTTCAGTTGTTATTCTCATCAGACTCATCTTCTTCCAGCACTTCTCAATTCACATCAGATTGTATCTGTACATAACATTTTATGAGGAATCGCTAATCTTATATATATTATAATATGTACTTCACATAACTGAAGTCGCGTGAAATAAACCATGTTACTATTTAACTAAACCGATATCAATTCTTTAATTTGTAGTTTACATACATTAATAGGTTAATTAAAAATTATAAAATAAGCCCTTACAAAATAATCAAGCAAATGTTATAAAATATTAAATTATAGAAAAAACAAAATACAATATCAATGACGAGAAATTATAAAAACAGCAAAATATAAAAATTTAATGAGATAGACTTGTTGACAAGATCAATGATTCCTCATAAGGTGCTACATACAGATACAATCTGTTGTGAATGAAAAAAAGGTGGGAATCGCTTCATCTCCTTTTGTACATCAGTTTGTACGGGTATACACTTCATACTAAATAAGTCTCAGCGCGGAAGCCAATGGAAGTTTTTTTATACAATATAATGTGTGTTCTGTTTTGAATTCAAATTGATAGTCACAAAATTTTCAATATTAAAATAATCTGAATGGATTAAATAATAAAATAAGCGATTTTTCACAAACCCATTACTTCATAGACGATAGAAAAAAATGTTTCATTGATAACATCAACATTAGCTTTAAGTGGTCACTATGTACTTACATCAATTTTCAAAAGATTCGGCAAATATTAAATTGTAAGCTAAGTTTGATCATTGATGTTTCCTTCATAACATTGCATATTTTATTAAAACCCTTACTTTCGTAACGTAGAAAACAAGAAAAATTTATATTTGATCAAAATTAAAAATTTAATTTTTCCCATTTTTGGCCACCTAATATCGATTTCCGACCACTGTAGAGCCAGCGGTTAGAATTATCGAAAGGCGGGTACACATGCCATTTTGCAAGTAAGCCTCGAAATTATATATTTATAACTTTTGTGCCACGACTATCTAGCTTCAGATCACTTCACAGATGTGAGAAGAAGAATCCCTGCCAGTTTCGTTGGCCAATAATAATTTTACAAAAAGTTACAGCGGTGTAAAGTCGATTTATCGCGAAAATCCGCGCTATTTTGCAACTAAGCCGTGAAATAGTTTATTTATATCTTTTGTGCCAGGACTATCTTACTTCAGATCACTTCTTAGATGCAAGTTTGTTGGCCAATCATAATTTTAAAAAAGTTTCATACAATTGAAAGCGAAACGCGTAGGTAGGTATACGCGCGCTATTATGCAACTAAGACGCGAATTTGTTTATTTATAACTTTTGTGCCACAATGTCCTTACAGTAGATGACTTTCTAAATGTAAGAAGAAGACCTCCAGCAAGTATCGCTTGCCAATGATAATTTTAAAAAAGTTTGATGTACCTAATTGAAGTAGCGAAACCCGTATATGCGGCTATTTTGCAATTAAGGGGCGAATTTGTTTATTTATAACATTTGTGTCGCGACTTTCTCACTTCGGATCACTTCTTAGATGTAAGAAGAACAATCCCTGCAAGTTTCGCTGGTCAATAATAATTGTGTAAAAAGTTATATCGATTCTTGTCATAAAGTTGCTTCCTTGC